TTCCCTATGCACTGACACAGTGAGATCCAGTCTGCTTGGTTTCATCTCTTGCTTGAAATGTTGGATTGATATAGGTCACTCAAACAAGACTGCATGTGGGCTGCTACACAGCCATGTATGAGGATGGCTTCACTGTCAGTCTGTGGGTCTCACTGGGTGATGTTCCAAACCCACACCCCATCTCCAGCCTCGGGATTTGCCAGCATCACTTACACTTCACCAGAACAGCACAGGGAGGTGGCAAACACATAGGTGAGTATGGGTGAGGAAACCCAGAAAATCCAAGATAATTTCCACACACAAACAAAAAATGCCTGCTGTTTGCAGAAAAAGCCAGTACCAAACAAAAGGTTTTTTAAAAAGTGTCTGATAGAGAAAAAGGAAGGAGGCAAAGGATGTGGCAGAAATACAGGGGAAAAAAAAAGATTAAAAAGTCAAAACAAAAAGACACTGCAGAAGCCTGCTGTTTATGTACATAATCCATTGCGTATCTGAACACATGAATAATAGCTTACATTTCAGACACCTCAACAGCTTTTTACACCACTGCATAAGCTATAGCATTAATGTGTCATTGTCCAAAATGACTAAAAATCCAGAAGACAAATTATTTATCTTCCCTCACTGTTATTCTTTCCCTTATTAGGCAGTCCTGTAACCAATGTCTCCCCTCTTTCAGACTATCTTGGAAGACTTTACTGATACCATAGTGCAGAGATTATAATGATTTTTGAGGTACTGCCCTGGACCAATGATGACACTATGGCAGTAAGTCGCAATCAATTAAAGTTGTATCCATTTATATTAATGACTTTACATTTTATATGCAACAGCTCTTTACAATTTACTATCAAGTAGAAATTTAGAAGTTAAAAATATTGGAAAAAGTTCCTGGGAAGCTGTTAGTAGTTAAGTATTTATGCACATGTACTTCAAATATATAATACTTACTTGTAAGGATTGTCAGCAAAAATAGGTACTCTGCATAAGATATCAACCCTGAAACAAAAGAGTCAAAAAATGACTTGCAAAAATCCCCAAAACTTACAGCAAGACTTAAAAAGATCCAATCTTATAAATATGAAAACGTAATTTAACATAATATAAAAAAGGTTATTTAAGTAAGCCACGTTATTATTTAATAGTTTTTATTTCTGTTTTGAGCACTCTTGAAGGCGAAAGTCCCTATTCAGAGACTCATCAATATTCATGTCTAATCAAGCAAGTAAGGTTTATTTGGTATTAATAAAAGGCCTATACTAAATCTTCAGATTCTCACTGAAAACACTCAATGTTTATATAAAAGGCAAATAAATTAAATGCGCTTTGTCACATTTAGTACCTGGGAGGAGAAGCACTCTAACGTTACCCTCAAGGATCAAAGTCCTGCATCCCTTGGCAGGCTCGCAAAGGCGGAGAATAGCTTCCCTCTAATTCTCAAGGGGAACATGGCAACACGCAAAGCTGCCAAGCTGCTAGATTTTGCTGATAGTACTGCTGGGCTGCGTGCCAAGAGGAGGCTTTGGGTTTTTTTTAAAAATAGGAACATGTCCTTTCTACAAGGTGAAAGTATTTTCCCCCCTTTTGAAGGAAAATTCCAGTGTTCTCCTTTGAAATTCCGCCTTAAGTGAAAAGCCTGAACAAACACAAAGATGTGATAGCGTCAAAATAGAGCGTAGGAGCTAAAGATAGAGAGTGCATAATGAGGGTGGTTAAACAACAGAATCTGAGCCATCTGCCCTGCAATAATGTTTGGAGAAAAATGCAAAGGGCTTTTTTATAAATCACTTCAAAATAACTGAGCTACTTTTAACTTGTGAGCTAAACATTGTAGAACACTGAAGCTGCTTGAAAGAATGAAGTTCAAACATGCCTATCTGTACAAAGATAACCTATTTTTTATAATTTATATTTAGTTAATTGATAGATAGCGAATCCACTTAAGCTTCAGTGAAAAACAATTAACTTCTGATAAACTACTATGCAGAGCCAACAGCATTTGTATTTGACCTCAGATAGTGACTTAATACTTTAAGTTTTAAGTACCAGAGTTTAGAAATATTACATTTCTGAATGCAAGAGTCTGAAAATCTGAGAACAAGTCTTACGAAAAGACAATTCTAATGCTGATCCTATTGACAACTCACTCTGGTTCCATATCTCAATTAGCCTCTCCATCAAAATAGGGCTATTGACCCTATTATCCAGCATTCATCATGTGTAAATCAGCAGTACAACAGTCAGACATTACACTGTGGAAATAAAAAATACTTTGATCTCAAATATTTAGTTTTGCTTACAAGTTTTAGGGTAACTGCAACTGCAAGAATGTAAATTATTATTTGTATTGCTGTATAACTTGGAATCATGTTTCAGACAAAACTGTCCAGGATTTCTACAAATTTGAAAACAGAGAAATAACTCCTGCTCCACTTTTTTTTTTTTTTTTTTTTTTGCTTATATGTCTAAGAAGAAGACAAGCTTTAAAAATGGATACAAATAGGGGAGGAAAAGAAATCAAGCAAATAGTGTAATGGGCAGTGATCAAGATTTCTACTCCCTAATTTTGTTTTGTGTGTCATAGCAAAATAATGTTTCAAGGAAGAATATAACGAAAGACAAGGAGTTAATTTTTCAACTCTATACAGAAAATGCCTCCCAGCTGTGGACTGCAATGGTATCAGCACAAAGATCCCTGCCTGAAAATTTAACCAGCAAGGGATGGAGACCAGAATCACAGGCCAAGAAGTGGGATCCTGCCTCTCAGCTGTCTGGAGATGTGAGACACATGGATGGTCTAGGTAAGCCCTGGAAGGGGAAGACAAGCAGCTTATGCTAGATAAAACAGAACAAGGAGACAGCAGTGTTGAGATACAAAAGAAAAAAATGACACACTCAAAGGAATTATATAAGAAAATCAACTTCAATAAAGCTTTTGAAAGGAATTAACATGGCAGATTATGTTTGTTAAAGTCAGAGGAAAGAAAAAAAGTCATAATAACTGAGATACAAAATGCTGAGCACCTGAAGAGTTTTAGCTGTATGGGTAGAGAGGGAACATTGTACCTTATAAAATTTTTCAGAAAGAATCTGCAAAATTTATATGGAGGTGGTAGGATGTAAAGAAAATATCAATTCAAAGGCAAGACCCTGCTTATTGGCTCAAGGGAGAAGCATGATGGCACTTGAATTGTGGGGGGCTGGAAAGAAAAGCCTTGCAAGAAATGGTAGGGATGAGACACACTCTTTTCAACATCTTATCATAAGCTGATTGAAACATCACTATAATGAAACAGGTAAAAAGGTAAATATAATAAAAATATGTTAAAGAAATAGATGGTTCTTCAGAACCTTTCTCAGTGCCTTATAGCAAATCCACAGCCTGTATGACATTTTCTGGCAGACTGATTAAACTAAATAATTTGAGATAAGATTTTTTTTTATTTTTTTGGACTAAATTCTATAAAAAGTCTTCTTTTGATTTTATTGTGGCAATTTACTTTATCCCTAAAGTAAAATTAAAAATGTTGGTAATTTTCTTTTTATTCTACAGTAATAATTACAAAGTTACTCAATTAAAAAGATACAATGCAAAAGATTTGTAAAAACCCACAAAACCAAACCACAGAAAATTATATTAATGTCCAAGCAAGACATTATTAAAAGATAAAAGCTTCACATGCTGTTGAATGACTCAGCATACTTATAGCCAAGTACCTGCAGTTAGCATTGGCAAAATACTGTCATCTTCTAACACTAAATAACCTTTCCCATCTCTCCTTAGAAATCTCTGTCCTCAAACTTTATTGCAAATGCTGATAGCACAATTTTCTTACTGCTGAATAAATCGTAAGTATACCCAAAAAATATGACATGAATTTTAAAACTGCCCACTAGAAGGCAGAATTCCCTAGAATTCTGTTTTACAAGCTGGACTTAAGACTGTGTTTTCCCTCTACTTGAAATTTAAATAACCACTTGAATGTAGTTAAAATATTCTCAGTGGAACAGGTGTAGAATCATTATTCTGATACTTGTAAAAACCAGTACTTAATAGATGAATAATTACATTTTAAAAATGTAATAAAAATGCATCTCAAAGCAAAAGCATCAAATACACTGAAGAGTGATCAGAACCAAAACCTGTAAAGACTCCATTTGTTGTGGAGACATACAGATGATGGCACTGAAAGTCCCTGCATCATCCCAAACTCCTACCTGACCTATGAAGGACTGAGTATATGGACCCACAGTCCTAAGCAAGGGATCAATGCCTTGTCCAGAGTGTTCAAGATGCCAGGCTGAGCACACCACCAAGCCCACTTTCTGCCAAACAGTCAGCTGGGAGAGATGCAATACAAGGAGGCTGAGCTGAGTTGCTCAGGAGTGGACTGACGAGCAAGGCACCCAGATGAAGGCCCCTCCAGGTCTGCACAAGGATGCAAGAAATGAACCACAGGCAGAAGAGGCCATGAGGCCAAAGGGCAGGTGAAATGCTGCAAGCTGAGGGCTCCTCTCTTGGCACAAGTTGCCAGCCATGCGCAGGGATCTGCTGTGCATGGAGACGGCATGGCTTATGCCTGCCAAGGAACTGCAGCAGAGCAAAGGCAGCTTTATTTTCCAGAAAGGTCCACGGGATAAGGGATTCAGGCTGAACTCTACCAGTTTGTGAATAGATTCTGTTGGTCTTTCTAATGATTTTGGGGATTTCAGTCTTCGTTACTGGTGAAATGGTAAATTACTCCTCTATTTGGTTTCCTTGATCCTCTTGCCTGTTTTCTCCCTTCAATTAATTTACGTTAATGATGTGTTTATTTGGTGTTCTTTAATTCTCTGTTGTTACAAAAACAATAACCTAGCTCTCAGTTTTCTCTTTATGTAGCCCAATATTGGGTGGAAATGCTGGGTGAAAAGAAACCAAAGTACATTGGTGCTGTGAAGGGCTATCAAGCTCATGAAGAGAGACTAACTGCTCTTGATATCAGGGGTGCCACTTTATATAAATAAATATTTTTAAAAATTTTTATTCCTCATTTCCATGCATTTAAGTTATATAGTGAAACAGCAACGTATTAAAAACAAGTCTGAAAAGCCCATTTTGTGCTGAAGTTATCCTTTTAGCCCTTTTCTCTTCTTCAACTAGGCTTTCTGATTTCTTTCTCTTCTCCTGTACCTCAGGAGGCTTTCAATTCCCAGCCCTGCTTCTTTATTGTCTCTTGCATAACTGAGAGATTTGCCAAGGAAGCCACTACTGCCTAGATGGGCACGAAGTGAAATCCATGAAACCTGCTTTAAAAATACATTCAATTCGTACCATATAATCAGATAAATAGGAAGATGTATTTTTCAGAATCAAACGTGCTTGTTACCTTTATCACCAAGTTGTCTGAAAAAGGTCGGTCCTGGTTTAGCTTTGGTAACAAATAGCAGTGTAGCATCTACCTCCTTCAAAAACACAAACAAGAAAATATAAAGCCAGTTTTGAAAGAGAAGTCTATTTGCTTGGGCAACAGAAAGAATGCAAGTTCTTTTGAAGAAAGAAAGGAACATTTTGCTTACCTTTTTTGTCAGTTTCTTGGCAGAGGCTTTACCTATAATAATAAAAAAAAATCATCATCATTCAATAACAAACTGACTTTAAACTTTGATCAGGTTCTGTGGCATTTCTTCAGATTTTTATGGGAAAATGCTAAGTAATATGAAACAGAATATTTTGCAGCAGGCAGTTTGTTTCTAATTCCCACAATGACTAAGAAAGGACAACATTTAAAAATAATGTGAGCAGCCTGTTCAAATGTTCTTACAATTTAGGTGGAACCACAGACCACTTTAGTACCTACAACTGACTTACTAGGGTGATTTTGCATACTGTGAGCTACAAACGCAGCACAGATTCCCAAGCAAGATTATACAGTAAGAAACAACTAGGATTTACAATGAGATTTGCATGCAAACATATTAACCCTCAAGTGCAGGCAGAGTTGCAAAAGCTAAGAAATACTGAAAAAGAGGGGGAAAAAGAATTAAAATTAAGATGTTTCTATTAAGCAGAATTAACAATTCTGCCTTCCAAAATAGTAAGAGATGAAACCATGCAAACTCCTATGTATTTATTAGTAGGTTCAAGTCTATACACTCAAACAGGGGAGCCACTGGCAGCAGTACAGATTGTATTCCTGTGTAAATCTCCTGTCTGAGGTGTGGTATTTCAGTGCAACATTTCAGCTTGTTAGGCAGGGACCACAGAAATCCTGCAGCCATGGACTGGCAGGAGCTGTGCTCCATCTCAGTCTATTATCTGCCCTATCACACAGGTCTCTCTCAGCATTTCTCCTCACGCCAATCTTAAACCCTGTATCCTTCACTCTTACCACTCTCAGCCCATTGCTCCCTTCCTTCACTATCAGTTTCTCTGGATACCAGCATTCTCTCTTTTTTATTCACACTAAGCACAAGCCAAGCTGGTTGCATTTGCTCTGAGGACCCGTGCCCCTGCGTGCTTCACTCCAAGGCTTGCTCTGCTACTTGATGGGCATCTCTCATCTGAAGGGTCACCAGAACAGAACTGCTGTTCAGAAATGAAGATGATGGTGACAGCCTGCTGGGCAGCTGTCAACAAACATCTACCAAGCACTTTCACAGGGCCATAATTCAGCCAGACAGAGGTGCCATTCTCTGTAAAACAGCAAATCTCCATAATGCTGGCAAAAGACATGCCCAGCCGCAGGGGGTCTCCACTGGCAAGTTTCGGCTTCAAGTGAGGAAAGCTCACCTGAACATCTCAACAAGCAATAGTTCATTTTTCAGCACAGGCAAAACAGTGCCCTGACCTTTGCTCCCTGGACTGGCAGTAACAGTTTTGCTGATAAATTCCTCTACCCGCCCCCCTCCCCCAAATCAGCCTAAGGCAGACACCTGGCACATAACATTGCAACCCGAATGTTTAAGTTTGACAAAATTTATAAGCAACTAAAATTGGAGCTTTAATACTGGAGTGCTGAGTGACCCCAGCAACAGGTGGTGCCAGCACCACCTGTTACTGTGCATGAATACATTTTTGTGCATTGTGTGCACATATTTACACACATGCATACATATACAGCCATACAGATACTTTCTAGCTCAAAGGAAGTATGAAATCCTCTACTTTGCCTCATTTGGGATAAAAGAAGTCAGACTAATAACTGACTGGGAGAGCAAGTAAAAATCTCTATATCCAGCAAGGCTGAGTCCTCAGCAGTGCAATGTGATGCCACAGTTCAACACTGCATTTTAATGAACGGCTATTCAGCAAATTAAGTGATTCAGATCTCAGCTTTGAAATGTCACCTCCTCTGTACAGCACATTTCAACGTGGTATTAAACTAAAACAGCTTTCAGCTCCTTGAGGCCCACATGGTGAGAAGCCTTACAAGAGGGAATGACTCAGGCTGTAGGTCTGTGAAAAACTGTACCTGAAAGAAAAAAAAAAACAACAACAACGACATTGCAGTGATTTTCAGTGTAAATGCTTTTCATAGTTGTCTGTTCTGAAGTCAGCCATGAACTACTTGGTCAACAGTGGATCCACTCACTCCTTTCTCCTGGTGGCCCCAAGAGCATCACTGCTACCACAGCAGTGTACTGGGCAGCAGCCTTTTGGCAGCATCCAGGAGGATGATGAAGGGAAACAAACTGAATCCTGTGAGCTAGAATAGCAAAGGCATTAATAACTGATGCAAGGCAGGGAGAAAGCACTGGGAGCTATGGCTGCGACACTAGTCGGCCAACTGGGTGAGGCTCTACATCTGATTAAGTCTGTGTTTCCCTTCTTCATGTTGTGTTCAGCACAGTAAATCTGAAATACTTCAGCTACCCAGTTTTAGGGAACACATCCTCAACTAACCTAATGTGATAAAAATTAATAACGGGAGGAAAATTTGTTGCAGACACGCATGGACCCTCTTTTCACCAGCCTGTAGTAACAACTGCAACTGCCTAGAGGTCACACAAATGGCTGCAGCAGCCATCAACATCTGCCCTCTTGCATTCAGCTGTGGCCACCCTCCAGAGGACTTTTCAGATGCTGACACGCTGACAGACCTGTTTCAGAGATGAAAATACAGTAACGACAACGATACAGAGGTGTTTGTGCTATCCTTGACTGGGGAACCTTGGCATAGGTGAAAGCTGTAGCAGAGGAGAAGGAAGCCTTTGCTGCGTGGCAGAAGAGGACAGTCACACCACCCCAGGACTTGGCAAGGAGCAGAACGAGGTGGGTGTGAGTCAGTCCCTGCCATAGCTGCCATAGCCCCTGCACAAGGGGCTGCTGCTGTGATAAAAGAAGGAAAAAGGCAGGAGGGAAAGGGACAGACTGAGAGATAAACAAAGACATTTCTTCTTTTCCAAGGAGTAAATACAGCAGAGTAATAAATGCAGAAACTTTTAATGATGTTATTCTCAAATGGCCTTCAAAGTAAGAAGATTTAATAACCGAGTCAAATGAAAATGGTGTCAGCAAGCATGTTTACTAGTAGGCCAGGAATTTTTTTTTTAAAAAGTGACACTGGGAACACTAGTGCTATTTTTCACATTGCTGTTTGTGTAAAGTATTAGAATACAAACTTATAATAATGTAATAATTTGCACTATAGAAGGAGTTTCATCCAATAATTATTTGAATATTTTCTAAGAATGAAATCCAGTTATACTCTAATCGTATTGTCACCACATAAGACCATCTGTGAAGACTCAAATCTCAGTTTTCAGAAGCAAACATTAGCTACTTTTATTGTAGCACTCACAATATTCCTTGAATACTAATTTAGTCCTTGGTGCTTACTCTCTGCATTTTTTCACTTCCTAACAATGACACCCCTTTAAACAATAACAAGGAAAGAAAGGTCTGTTAATATCACACACTACCATATCAAATGTGCAGCCCTTTGAGGAACCTGGTCTTCTAACACCTTTTGTAAAATAACTAGGAAAGAAGGTTAACTCCTCATTGCAGAAATTGTACTGTAAAGGTATGAACAGTTTTCTTAGCTAGTTGGGACACTGAAAAAACCAACACCTTCTTCCTTTCTATCATTTAAATCTTGGTACTGTCATTCCTGACACTTGACTAGAAATATATCAGGACCTAGGTCTCTCTGAGGAATACAGGTAATGGTTGTAATTATTAGGAACTATTTAATCTAATAAGTAAAAGATCTGTATGATGCACTTTTCTGTAGTTTTATTCTTTTAACTTGACAGATTCTTACTAATAGGTAAATTAGCACATATTAGAAAACTTGTTTCTAGTTGTAACAGTCTTACTTTGGTATCAGAAAATGAAACTTGGAATTTTTATAGTTTTGAACTTGAATGAATGAGAATAAAAACATTTTTTTTTTTCCTACAGATCTGCCAAGATTATGATGGAATTCTGGATTAAAGGACGATGAGTATTTTCAAAGGTCTTTACATATTTTACAGATATTGTCATCTAATATTCATCATCTATAGCAGATCCATGAAACAACAACGAGGTACAGACAAACCTTTCATGGACGAAGGGGTATTGTAGCTTTTAAGCATAATGAATACCAAGTCGACTCAGAAGCACACAAATTCTGTGCTGTTAGCCAAGAAAGTTAGCTGCCAAGAGCATCTATATCACCCTTAATTTGCCCTCGGCAAACCTGAGTATTTTGTCACGTATATGTCTTACAATAGAAGTCCTTCCATCACCTATCAGGTTTTTTTATGCTAAGATGTAGAATGGACCCAACATCAACGTTAAGATTAGGGCTGAATTAAACAAGTACCCACTTGCACTCAGTAACACTCATTTACTCCTGTAAAGCTAAAGAAAGGCTTAGATCTGACAAAAGATGTTTAAAGCTAAAGAGTGAACAAGATCACCAAGATCAAACATTATAACAACAATCAAACACCAAAGCAAAAGAAAAGAAGTTACTACAATCTGTAAGAAAGCATAATTTTCCATGTCTGCAAGATTGCTCTATTTTTGTAGTATGCAAATGAAAATTAATTTTTGAAACAATCTTTTCCACAGCCATATCTTTAAATGTGAACAGTATAAAATAGCTATCTTTTTGTAGGACAACAAGCTCCTGTCCCTTTTATCAGCAAAGTCACTATAATGGTTTTTACCAGGATCTCTTTTTAGCTACATTTCAGATAGACACAGTGATAAATAAGGAAAAAAAAAATACTGTTCTCCTAGTTTTTAAATTTTAGATGGCAATCATTGCTATCTTCACTGAAGCTTGGTAAGTACAAAGTCATACAGGGGTAAAAGGTAACAATTTCTTTTTCCTCTGAAAAATTAAGAAGAGAATAACATTAAGTATGTTACAATTCAACCAAACTCTGGTTCTGGAAAATGATGAGTGTAGCAAACCCTTTAAGCTGGATTGGATTTCGGCACAGTCATAATCATGCTGTGGCCTTTGCAGCAGAGCCCACCCTGCAAGCCTTGCCTGCTGTGGGAACAAAAATTTGTAGTTCTCCCTTTTAGCTGGCTGCCAGCATCTGCACAAGCTGAACTCTGAGAAAAAGAAAATGAAAGTCTGTGGATAAGAATTAAGGGGCAAGCAGG